CACTCACACACACACACACACAATAATTAATTGTTATTTTAGAACTTTTTCAACCAACGAAGAAAGGGCCTTTCCTCTATGTCTCCCTAAAAATTTTTTTTAAACAATACAACAACAAAACGAAAAACAAACACATAAACAAACATACCCCCCCCAAAAAAAAAATTTTTTAAAAAACATTTTAAATAAAAAAAATTCACCCCCTTTTCAGCCAAACTTATGCAATATTTTTACAATCGTGTTTCTCATTCTCAGCCCGCCATCTGCCCCCTGCCCAGCAAACCGTGCCGACTCCAAATCACAATGAGGCACCTGAACGGAACCGCCGCTGGCGAGATGGAGACAGCACCCTGCACCTGCAATGGACGAGTCGAGTGCCCCTCTGATTGGAACGATAGAAATCACGTGATTTCCAGGAATCTCATCTCAACAAGTAAGTTCTCAGAATCACGAGCAAATGACGCAGGGCAAAACGCGGCTTTTCAGTAATTGCTGATCAAAGACTAATATAATAAATATTATGTCTGTTGTTTCATGTTGAGTGCGTTTAGACTCTTCACCACTGAGTGGAAAATACGTGAGTTCGATTCCCAAGCAAGGTTAGTTTGTCTACTCTGTTGAGAAAACATTCAAAATGTGCCCGTTTTATCTGTAAGGATGTTACGTACCTGTCAGCCCCATTTGGCCGCTTTATATAGCTACATTGTAACGAACAGGTACATAATCCAATATAGAAAATATACCAACGTCAACTTAAGGACAGTATCATACCGATGAAGATACTTTTACGAACACGCGAAGAATGAAAAATATCTTATTGTTTATTTCATTTATTTGTCTGTTTATCTATTTATCTGTTTATCTATTTATTCATTTATTTTTCATTTTCTCCACAGCCTCCATTATGACACTGAACATGATGTTCTGCAGACCCATACAGCCACCTAATTATTGTTCCCTGGGTCAAGAGGTAAGGACAGCAAGCGACGTAAATCAAAGAGTTCGTCTGTTTACATTAATGAGCTTGTTTCAGTTTAGTGCAGGGCTTCTTAGCTATAATACCCACTTTAGTTATAGTCTTACTTGAGTTTTATGTACTGTATTCTGTTTAATATAGTAAAGGTATAGGTGCACTTGGATGGCTCAGCCACATGCATGTAAAGCAATGTGAGATGACAAAGATCGTATACTAGGATGTTTACTACTCTCGCTCTTTAAATAAGAAATATCGTCATAGACCTTTTTTGTAAGTGTTTTAAGGCGCTCGCAACTGCATAAGGTGATATGTGCGCGCAGGACACATTATACATTTTCAGTAGGTAGGAAATTTTGAATTTTGCCCGGGTGGCAGCCGAAGCCTACTCTTATCGATTTCAGATCATCAAGGGATCGTTAATGTCCGTAACTTGCATACGGGACCTCCGAGATTTTTCGCCCTTATCCGAGAAGGCTAGGTGTTAGATCTTATCTACCATGAGATCAGGGGTGTGGCTGAAAGACAGCAGTAAGAAAGAAGCTAAAGAGTAGCAGTAGAATGGCTGTAGAAAGAGTCAGGAGTCCACAGGAGGGGGCAAAGGAGGTTAGAGATGGGTGCAGAAAATGGAGACGAAAACAGACGACATAACATTGCAATGTTAGAGAGCAGGAAAGGAGGTGAAAGGATAAAAGTTTGGAGAAGAACATTTTCCATCGCTTTCTGGATTCGAACCAGGGACCTATTGAATGAAACGCGAACACCGTAACCTCTCGACCTCGAGAACCCCGCAGACAATTAATACCCCATAATTATTAAAGGCGGGACGTCAGGTGCTGCTGAAAATGCTTTGCTTCGTTTCTTAAATACAGATTCTTGCCGATTAAAATCCAGCTTTTTAGCTTTCCTTTTTCATAGTCACGATAAAGACTTATTGAACGTCCCTACAAAATATAATAAATTAATGGGGTGGACAATTGGTGTTGCTGAGTAGAACGAGTAGGCAAGGGGCCGATGTGTATGAACCATTGTATGACTGCTTTTGCTATTATTGTTATCTTGAATTTTATCAAATCTTCCTGTTGATCTTCCGAAATGACTTACTTACCCCCCCCCCCCTGTCTCTCTCTCTCTCTCTCTCTCTCTCTCTCTCTCTCTCTCTCTCTCTCTCTCTCTCTCTCTCTCTCTCTCTCTCTCTCTCTCTCTCGCTCTCTCTCTTTTCTCTGAGTCTCCACGTGTGTTTATTCATACTTTTCCTGTTATTGTATTTCTTTTCGTCCTTACATCGGTAGTAAATAGAGGAGTATTTTTTCCATTCACCATTTTGTCTGTATTTTCCCACATCCCACTCTAGGTTTATTTCCCCTTGCAATTTATATTCAACGCTATCTTATAGTGTTTATTGTCACATCCTGCCTCCTTACATAATTCTCTTTTCCTTGGAAAACATCCTCTTTGAGGCTTTTCATGAAAGCAGTAAAAGCAAAAATACAACAGAAGACATAATGTTATTACATTACAGGACTGCACCTTTGCCTCCCTGCATATATACACACAGGAAGTCAGATGGCACCCCACTGTGATAAAACATAACTTGTTATCTCATATTTCCGCAGTTATTTTTCTTTTCCCTCCTGGGGAGTTTCCTCAATTTTAGCCCCTACCGCTCTCCCTCCTTTACCAATGCCGCCGTTTTCTCTGCCAAAAAAAAGCAACAACAAAGACAAAACCAACCCCCCCCCCCCCAAAAAAAAAAACAACAAAAAAACAACAACAACAAAAACCCCACCCACGCACACAAAAAAACAAGAAGAAAAGAATAAAACAGAAATCCGAAATGAAAAACAACCACCCATAATGCTGTTATTATTTTTCTCTCTGCCAGGCTTTGGTTGTTTCCGGTGCCATGACCATCCCTAACAACGTGGAAGACTTCAACTGCCGTTGCTATGGCGACAGCCCCTTGTACCTGCACAATAGACGCTATGCAGAAAACCATTTGATCTACCACACATACGTCTGTGACTACCATAAAGTAAGTACGTTTACGCCATCTTAGATCAAGGATTTCATACGTCTCCTTTTGGGATCCAAGTCCAGACAAAATAATATGATGAGTTATACAAAGTAGTTTGCCTTATGGGGATCGTATATTATGTAATAATATAGTAATGTATCATCACAATTTTGAGCTATGCACACCATAAACAAGAGATAGGGTGTAGTGCTGTGGCTTTACAGTGATCGTTGTTCATAAAAATATAATTTCAATATAAAAAGCACCTTTAGTACAGTTTTAAATAACGTTTTCTCACTCCTCCCCCCCCCCCCCCCCCCCCCCTTTCCTCCAGCCTACGTGTCCAAACTACGTGACGCGCTGCATGGTGATGCGTGAGGACTCAGTGGACTACACGTGCAAGTGTGCTCAAGGGCTTCACTGCAGACCACAAGAAGACGACTGGACATACCCGATGTACGGATATTGTCGCCCTTGAACTCTCCAACAGACGATCGTAGTTGCCTCAAGATTTCGGCGACTTCCCTTTCTCGACATGATCACGTTGTCAAAATAGGTCAACCGGAAGTGTACCAACGAGAGCAAGACGTATCTGAAAATTGCGTCATTTTGTTCCAGAAAATAAATCGGTGTTCGTGAAGAAATGATTAGATTATCTGTTATGTCTGTGCTTCCCTCTTACAATTTACGTTGTCCTGTTTTGTAGTTAGCGCTTTGTATTTTGTTCTTTTTTCGTCATAGAATGAATGCTTGGTCTTACAGTGAAACAATGTACAGGGTATGCTTGTACGCTGGCTTTTTTTCATGTGTTTTTTTCCCCGAAGAGGAATTTCTTGTGTGACCTCTTTTGTTTTACTCGGTTGTTGTCCTCCGTGTGTTTGTTTTTGTTGTTGTTGTTGTTTGTTTGTTTGTTTGTTTGTTTTTTTAATTGCACCTTGTTGAGAGTTTTGAGAAAATAATTATACTTTATAAAAAAGCGAGGAGGGGTTTGGGAGATCGAAGAAGAGAAGTGTACTTTGTGGAGAAAATGCACGATGGGCCGTTTGAAGGAACTTTAAGGGTTTTATTTCCGAACTTAAGGGTGTGGGAGGGGCTGGGGAGGGGGCTGAGAGGCTTCACGATGGACCAGTGAAAATATTCAAATCTGTGCTCAGCCTCTACGTTTGATCAAATTAAATTATGAATCTTTTAAACGCTGTCTTTGGATTAAAAACCCTTGGAAACTAATGTAGATACTAATTTGTTTGCTTTAAAAAAAAAAAAAGCAACAACATGTACATGATTGATAAGTGATATTTAAATGTCCTTCGACGTGTGTTTAGATATAAGCTTGGGGAGGGGGCATGGCTTTTGAAGAATTAACAGAAAGGGGGGGGGGGGTGTGGTAAAGGGCAAAAACACTATAATCAAATAGCTGTAACCCTTCTTTGTCCCTATCATTTTCTTTTGACGTTCGTTTTGTTGCTGCTGGTGTTGTCATTGTTTTTGTTGTTGCCTTTGTTGTTTGTACACTTTCTTTCTTCTTATAGAAGAAGGTCAGATGGGCAATATGTTTGGGTCCTTGGGGGGTGAGTGATTAACATGGAACTCAATGTGTGTGTTGTCATGTTAGATCTACTCAAACCTTTGATGTTCGCCCGAATCCCTTAAGTTGTGAGCACGCATCTTTAGTGCATTTTCATTTCCGAAAACTGAAGAGGTTGTTTTACCACCGTCGTTCCCGTGCACCTTCGTAGAATTATGATACAGCACTTTTAGTTTGTATTTATTACGTTAATTATTTTTTGTAAATTTGCTTGGTTCCTATAATATGTAAATTATTTTTGTTCTTTACATTAATCCCCTCTCATTTGCAGAAGTCTTTGCTTGCATTTTAAATTTGTTAACTTTGCCTTGCTTCTGCTTACAATGAGATGTTTGTATCATTTCTTTTGTTATTTTTTAGACGGAACTTTCGTTGTATTCGCCAGGAACTTACGTATATCTACGCAGTCCATTTTGCTCTAATTTGATTTCTATCCAAATTGATACTGCTATTTCTACATTGAAATAAATAGACAACAGTTTTTTTGCTACATACTATCTATGTGAATGGTTTATGCTTTGTGTTTGAAAATTTACAATTATTTTACACTTTCTTAAAATTCTTTTTAAAAGATGTGTCCACTTACCTCCTTATAATGTCCACTCTTATTTTATTGTTATCAATTCTGTTACATCTTTCCCTTGAAAATTTTCCTCTGTTCTTGAAATTAAGAAATGCACCCGGACGTTCAAGGATGTTAGTTCCTATATTCAAATATTTATTTTGTATACTTTTAACTATGTTCCGTCGCCTGAAAAGATGAACAGTGTGGCTAGCACCATGAGATGAAACAAAAGAACAAAGTTGATCAATAAAAAATGTCACGTTGATTCAAACTGAAAAAAAAAACTGGTTTTTTTTAATTATTTAGCTGTATTCACTGTCAACGTTAAAAAACACTTCATTTTCTTTGTTCTTCCTACAAAAACGCAAAAGAATGGCACGGGATTCTGGAAAACATCTTGGCTCAGATTTACTTGTTGATCAGTTGTGTTGCTTATGCTCTGTTGACTCTTCAATTTAGCAAACGGATATTTGGTTCTTCGGCTAATTATAGTTGCCCATGAGTTCCATCATGTTCACAGGGGCGACATTACCAGAATCGGGTAAAATACAGGCAGGGAAAATGACTGTGGTGAGTGGCATCGATGGTTTAGTAATCTGGCTACCGGGCTCGTAATCATGAGATTGCTGGTTCTGGGTTTGAGGCTCAGCTCGGTTCGAAAGGCAGTAAACACGAATTGTCTCCTTTGGCTCTGTCCTTTAAGAAATGGATGTACAATTCGGAGGATTCGCCTCTTAAATAACCATATAAAAACCCTCTATAGCCACATGTACCATAATATTATAATATGGCACATCAAGGGGAGTAGAACCGATAAAATCGTGCACAATTTTTTCGCCTGAGAAAGAGAACCCGGATGTTCCAGTTATGACTGTCGGATCAATGGCATCTTACTTTGTATGTACGAAGCGTGGGAGGTTTAATGATCATGCCATCCGCCTACCAACTTGTAAGGCTTTCAGTTCACAGGTGTTGTACCCTTGAAGCAAAAACTTTATGCTGAAGTTTTCTCATCTCAGCCGGATGAGTATGGGTATTCGGAAAAAGACGAGCCAAATACCTTATTGGAATGTTTGTGTATGGAGGGCTCTAAAATGGCAGCTTGCTCTAGGTTCTTCTTTGGATGCTGAGAAAGCCCTAGAATGTTACTGGGTCAGTCGGGATAAAGATATCATCATCATCATCATCATCTTCATCATCATCATCATCATCATCATCATCATCATCATCATCATCATCATCATCATCATCATTATCATCATCATCATCATCATCATCATCATCATCTTCGGAATGATACCATCACAATTTTATTGTACTTTGATAACCACTCGCACCTTCGTCGGCATGAGTCGTTTTAAATATAAGGTAAAGGTCTAGTTGGGTCCTGTCTTCTTTAAATGAGTTAAAACAGTGCTCATGTATGACGTCGTGGCTACCTCCATCTAGGCTCTGCAGAGAGTGCAAACTTGGAATGTACGTAGTAGATCAAGTAAGTTCCGAATGGAAACTCCAACTAGACTTTTACTATCAATGTTATACGCTCGCTGTCGACTATACTTGGTCATGTCTGTTAATTAGGTCCAATCTTGGCTGATATAGGTTTACAAAAGGCATTTTGAACATGGGTTGTTTTGGGGCGTTTTTAAGGTTCCATATCCATTTGACTCAGGTCTGTCAGAAATGGACGTTAAATTCGGAGGTCCTATATCTTAAATTACCTCACAATGTTAAAAGTGGCATTAAATATGTAGAAATCAAAGACCAAAGACTACTTGGTTGCCTGGAATTCTATCGACAGATGGGATTCTTTGAAGGACCAAGGGAATTGGAATGGCGAGGTTTGCAAATGAGGTTCTTATTACTGTATACCAATATGTGGAGCCAAGAGAAAAAGCAAGCAAGCTGCGCACATTCACGGGTGGAAATGAAACCTTACTTTTAATGCTTAAAATGTGGCAATCTCTTTTTTTTTTACCAGAACTGGTCTCATTGGCCATAGCAAACAGCACAAGTTACCTTAAAAATTATTTCTTCTGTTTTGCTTCAGAAATACAGGGTGATCAAAGAATAATGAACTGATTTCAGAGGGCAATATTTCAATGAGGAAAAACAATTGAAAACTCAAGCTAACTGACAAGTGTTGCACTCACAATCAACTCTTATTTCTTGTCTTACAAGTGTTCAACGAGGCCACCACCAGCAACACAGGCAACATAAATGCGATAAGAGAATTCATCCCAAACGCGTTTTAGCATATCACGGTCCATTGAGTTGGTCACTGTTGTAATTCGATGTTTAATTAAGGTCATCGAGGTTACTGGATAGTGGAGGAACATAAACGCCATATTTTACATACACCCACAAGAAAAAGAAAACCGGTGATGTGTGGGGATCTGGCAGGCCAAGCGCAAAGAGCAAGGTCTCGAGCCCTTTTCCGACCACATCCATCGCTTGGGCACAGCAATTCAAAAGTAAGAGAACTCCTCTTTTAGATGGTCACTGACTCATTCCATAACCATGCTTGAGAACTGAAGCAAAGCGTCACAAAATCGTGTTAATTCTTTTTTACTCAAAATTTATATGACAGCTCTTTCAAATGGTAACTAGGCCTAACTCATTCCTTGACGATGCTTGAGGACTGAATCAATGCTTCATAAAATAGGTTCATTTTTTAAAATCACCCTGTACTGTCCGCTTCTGAAGCATTTGCCATCGTCAGACACTGACGAACTACTATTATGGTACCAATTATTATTTCCCATCAATTACGTATTTACATTCAAAGAAGAACAAAAACCTGAACATCAGCGGAACCGTGTCTGCAGGAGAAAATAACTACCGGGTATTCAGACTAATGGTTATCTCTGCATGAATAATTGGTGTTAGTTGTTAAGCAAAATTTGGGACAGGTGTATACCCATTCCTGCAGAGTGTTCCATAAATGAATCATCTCTTTTCGCCTTCACAGCAAGAGCTAAATCCTAAATGTTTTGACCTCTGAAAGTATAATCAAATAGTAGAACGGGCAGCACGAGAGGGTGCATGTTTTTTCCCGGGATGAGATTTGACCTCTGAGTCTCACTGTGGCTATTATTTGGAACAATATTTGGGTTCTCTATGCCTATCCCTTGTAATTTAACTGAGACGTGTAAATGGGTTAACACTCGATTTTCTGTAGCCCAATCATACATGAGCTTAAGAAATTGAATTTGAACCAGTTGTTGGGTGTTTGGAAGTCCTATAAGGCCTACATCCTAGAACCCAGTATTTATAGCAAATCCCTTCAGGCATTGGGTTTTTTTCAAGAGATGTAGGCCTAAATCAAAAGCTTCTGTTAATGAGTTTCAAGTGAGAGAAAGAAATCCTTTTATTGCTTGTTATTTGTATTATTTCTAGGTGGAATATGCCCCAGGCGCGGTTCGTCCATTGAGCACAGTCGTGCAGTGCGTCCAAAATATGTTAGTGTTCTATCACGTAAAATACCCACAATAATAAAATAAAAGAAGCCAGAAACAAACACTAGCCAAATATTATATCAAAACAAGGTCCTCACTGGCGCCATAACTGTCATTTCATTTCTGTGTCTATAGCGCCGTAAAACATCTACTATGCTATGCTAAAGTCCACGCGCTTTAGCTAAACATAATAGGATATTATTCAACCGTGAAACCTGACCTATAAATCACTTTTGGGGATAACCCAAGCGATGACGACACTCGTAGCGAGTTTGACGATACATTTATACGAGGGGAAGTCAAAAAGTAATGCAGGTAATTAGTTATTTTGCACAATTTTGCATCCAATTAAATGAAATTCAGCTCACGCGTACTTGCTTATATACTTTTGAGCTCAAACTGTCAAAATTCAAGTTTCTTTAATTTTGACACGAATGACGTAATATCAAAATGGCTACCCTCTTGGGGGTCTGTCAGAGGTAAAGAGCAGTTATTTGAATTTCTTGTTTAAGAAGGAGAATCCACCGATAACATTCAAAAGAGACTTCAGAATGGTTCCAAGGACCAAGCTCTAGATTTTGTCACTATATATAGGTGGGTTAGACGTGTCAGCAATGAATCGGAAGAAGAGGAAGAGGTGTCCATGTGCTTGTCAGACAGGCATCGTCACGATGAGTCAACTGATCAAATCATGGTAATTGTGTTTTTGGACGTTCATAGCGTGCTTCTCACAGATTTGTTTTTTAACCACGAGGAGCAACTGTCAATTCTGAACCTACATTGAAACATTGAAACGACTGAAAGCGAGAATTTGACGAGTCAGACCACATTTTAACATGGAAAGAGCGTTTTTTCACTATGACAATGCCCGCCTGCATTCGGATATCAGAACACGGGAGACCATCACCCCGTTTATGTGGAAAACACTGCCACACCAAACTTATTGTCCTAATGTGGCTCATTCAAACTTCCACCTTTTCGGTCCTAAAAAAGAACCATTCAGAGGTCAACACTATGGAAACGATGGAGAAATCAAGACTGCTATACCCCTACGACCAACCTGCTCAGTTTTACGCAGCTGGCATATGTGGACTTAGTAAAAGGTGGACAATGGCTATTGAACGAAAAGGAGACTATGTTGAGAAAAAAATCTGATCCTCAAATGCTCCCCTTCAATTTGAGGTATGATAGCTACCAGTGTGTTCTTTTTTCTTTAAGTTATAAACTAACTTGCATTACTCTTTGACTCACCCTGGTATTAATAAGACGGCACGTATCAAATGTGCTCCTGCCGTATAGTGCTGAAACATCGCCCACAGTAGGCAGTCTAAAAATAAACGCTATAGACCACACGCTATTCTTTGCCAATATTATGTGAGCCCTGGAGCAATCCAGCGGAGTGCTCAAGTGAATTGCGATTGGTTCCTTGTGTGTCTTGCCACTATTTTAAGTGGCTCTGTGACCATGAACCTGAGGGGGGTTAACGTGACCGTTATAGGAGTTGTGCCTTTCAAAGGTTTTGTAGTGGAGTGGTGAAAGTTCCAATAAAGGATGAACGAAATTGATGTTAAGCTAACAAATAAATTTAGTACAAGAAATCAAAGCGACAAGTAAAAAGAATGAAAATAGAAGCAAGAGGTTCTCCTTCTCCAAACCAAAGATCCTAGATGTATACACCGTCTCATTTACTATGCCCTTGACTATTTTCAGCATGCGATAGATTAATAGTGCACGTCCACTTTTTAACCACACGAGCCGCCCCTGATATGCCCCCCCCGCCCCGCCCCTGTCAACCAGCACTATGATCACAAGCAAACACGAACATA